CGGTCGGGTGTCCAAGACTGTGTCAATGACCTTGGTGAAAATCTTGCTCGCCTTGCGAAAGAGGTTGTAGTTGGCTTCGCCGTGTCTAGCTCCAGAGTTTTCCATGTGTGCGGCCGAATCAAGATGTGATATGAGCACGCTGAGCATGCGAATAATCTCCGCGCGAGATATTTCAGCGGGGAATTGCTGGCCTGTTCGATGTTGTTCGCGCAATGCTGTAGCAAGTACCGACGCTGCGGGTACACCAAACAGCAGTAGGGCATTGAGCATGTCGCGTTGAACATCGTATGATCGATCGCGTATTCTACCCAAGGTAAGTGTATTGCAAAGAAGATCAACAGAGACGCGCAGTAGGGCAGTGTTGAGCGTCAATGGGCTGTAATCGAGCAGCTTTTGAATCATGAACTCGTTGTACCAATGCGTGAGGTGTATGATGGACAGCATCAGACAGATTACCGTGGGAACGTCGTCTTCCCAACAGGTCTTCCAGTATCGCATATGTTTGGGTAGCGTCTCCCAAGAAGTGCGTACACGCTCGGATATATCTCTACAAACTTGTTAACAGAAGCCAAAGTAGGGTCATCGTGGCATACGCACAGTAACTGGGCTTCCGCGTTTGCGTCTATCTTGACGAGCGAGAATTCCAGGATTTCTTCGCGACTTCGGAGGGATATATGACGTAAACGCTAATGCACGTTAGCTGAGGGAAACAAACCAGCCTAGGTGGGAGACTTACGATCCAAGACGCTCTCAACCATCTGCCTTTGGTATTCCAACCGTCCTCGTCCAACGCTGCGATGGCAGATTCCAAGGTCGCCTGGTCACCGGTGACTTCGTTATCGGCCAGGTCGAGTGGAAGCTCGATATCAGTGTGTCTCTTGCTGATACGTATCGGACGGCCAAGGAAGGTGGATATCGACTTGTCCTGGTTGTATGCTGAACAGAAAACCCTACGGCGTGTTTCCGTCAACCATTTCGGAGCATGAGCGCACTTCTTCTCTTGATGTATACCTAGTGCATATATCTGTGTCGACAGTTCACCTATCCGTCGCCAACTGGGTGGACCCTGGTAGCCGCAGATCATGATTGTAAATAGGTAGTTTTCGTAATACATCCAGATCGTTACATCGTTCACTGTCGCAAGCATCGTCGTGAGAAAAAGACAGGTCGTACTCGCGCGAAGTAGCTCATCGGCAAAGTGTAACTTCATGTCCTTGTTGGCAGGATCACTGAAGATATCCGGAACGAAGCCGAACGTTAGCGATCGCCCGGCCGTCGCGAGGAGAAAGCCTATAGTTTCGAATCGTAGATTATCGCCGGAACACAAGATGTGAAAGTCGTGTGCTTCCATTGACTGTGATACTGTGAAAGGGCGTGCAGTCGTCTCGAGTACTTGGCTTATCAGCAGAGAACTGGGTTTCTTCCGCCGAAGATCATGCTTGTCAACAACAGCTTCCAAAGCATTCACGGCGTCGACCTGAACCTGGGCAGGTATCACACCTGCTTCATTTGTTGCATTGTACCATAGAACGAGCTCTTTGATGGCGTTGTAATGGCGAAGAGTGCTCAAAACGTCACAAGCCATCTGGTATCGCATGGACTTAGACAGGGTGTGCTGGTGTGTAAGTTCGCGATCTGATCGTTCTGATGCAACAGACTCCTCGCGTTCACGCATCTGACCGGGTTCTTCATCCTGAGGAAGAAGTACGGCGTACGATCCAGGCCCGAGGAACCCAGGGTGATATACATCAGCAGCTACGGCATCCGCAAGTTTGTCACCATGCGACGGAGACGCTGGGGCAAAAGCGGCAACAGCATCCGAAGCCTGCTTCGAGGGTCGTCTGTTCGAGTCAGAATACTGATGTGAATGTAGTTCCAAATGTATGCATACTTTCTTTTGGGCGGACGGGCTTCACCTGTTCCTGACTCATCGGCACTCTGACGCTGCCTGGTGAGAGGTGCTGGGTGGTAGAAGCAGCGGTCTTCAATACCACGTTGACGACATCGATCACATTTCGGATGGCCATGATCACACTTGGTTTTGTTCAGCCTGCATGGTTCGCAGGATGCTGGCTTGCCATTGCGCCTACTGCTGCCGGCGTCCCTGTTGGTTGGTCAGCAGATGGAAAGTTGTAGACTCCACGCGTAGATTACATGTCGATAACTGCACCGGTGTGTGCACGGAAGGATCCTCAATTCATGCGTGTGTGACATAATCTCGGAAACACGCGTCGGTGAGTTCGTCATGTCTGTGGATGGGCGCAGGCGAGATTGTGACGCGGGTTGCCTAAGCGCGAGGTGTCTTATCGATAAGCGACGCGTGCAGCCCGTGACGCCCTCTCCTCCTCCCGAGGTCCTTCACTGCCACCTCGCATCCATCGCTACGCGCCAGCACACATGCATGATCATGTCAGCCAAATCTCAGCCTCCGCCTGGTCAAAAGGGGCAATGCCATCCCGATGGACTACCCCCCTGCGATACACAGCCTCATGGACAGCCGAACAGCCTCTTCCGTATGCCCATTCAGCCATCTATTGCCTTCACTCTGCCAAAGTAATTGAGGCTTACGGGTTGCCCAATATACACAATGGGCATGCTTCTACGGCCTCCCCCACCTGATCCCCTCCGAATACGCCTCGCGCACGCCTTGGGCTTCCCGAATTACCCCAACGATGACACCGTCGAACCGTACATCAACTATCTTCTGAACCAGCACGATGCTCGTGGTACTCCAGAATACGAAGATCTCCTCATAACCATAGTACAATACTTCCATGGCCCTCAGCCCCTTGGGTCAATGAAGAGGAGCATTGAAGGGCTGCTACACTCGCTATCCAACCACCCGAACACACAATGGCACGAAGAGGACACGGTGGTGCGCGCTATTGGCAGCTGCACACTGTTACTGAGCTCGTTCACCGATCTACCAACGGTAGCCGGTAAGCTCCGAATGGTGACGGCAAGCTACAATCTGCGCATGCACGGAAGCTTGCTGGGGGGCCAGCCATACTTCGAGAGCTTGGCAGAATTGGTAGCGGGCAGCGGTTTGCTACCAGCGCCTGTTGCATTCGCCTCTGTGGTGACCATGGCAGATTTAGAGTCCTTGGAGTCGCTCTTTGTTGACGCCACCCACCTCAACGCGTACAGATTGACTGTGTTCGGAGCAGTGGAAATCACCTGGACTCATAACATCTCCCGGCACCTCCTGCTATCGAACCGCAACGGACGTCGCATACTTGAGATCTTCGCGCTACCATGCGCGTTAGATGCCGCTCCTCTTAGGATGGTCGGTGTTGGTAATGAGCTGGCGCAAGAGGTCATGGAGTCATACAGCTTGCTATTCAACGCCTGGCCCTCATTGGGTCCTCATGCTAAGCTTGGTTTATGGGTACGTGTTTCTCTACGAACTGCATATGGAGCATACACTGACTTGGTATACCTATATACAGCGGCGATGTTGCCCATGTCAACCATGTTCTGCTCGACGATACCGCAATCGCGCGATCAGCGATTACCAAGCCTTTAGTCGACTTCAACGTAGCAGCGAATACGACCCTAAGCTTCCTCACCTCATGAGCGCCATAAATCAGCAGCCGATCGCATGGACACCTGGCATATTCCCCCATCTCTGGTCTCGAATCATGATCCTAGATGAGCATCTGCAGCAGGCGAAGCCATGGAGCATTTGGGTCTTGTTCCGTAACCGTAACGATACCTTACAATTTTGGACGTTCTTGTGAGATACTCAACACTGTTGCACTTCATAAGACTGACAACATGCAGGTTCGCTACGGTCGTTGTCTTCATGACCGCAGTTCAGGTTTTGCTTGGCGTCGCACAAGTCGTGGGGTCGTTCCGCTGATGAACGACATCGGAAGCATTCAGCCTCGTATCACGGGCGGCTAGCCCCCACCCGCAGGTATTGCGAAGATCCATGGTGCGCGTTCGCTTATGCGCCTGCCTGACTGGTCGCGACGGAGAACACCATGATTGTGCAGCTGGCTTGTCTCCAGCCTTTGATGCTGTTGCGAAAACCGGATCTGACACGCTGTGTTCTAAAGGTACTTCTTAACATGGATGGAGCTTACTTGCTATGATGCCTGTCTCCCCGATCCTTTACCGCCTATAACTTGTGTCGTACCTTTCAGCCCCACGAGCAAGATGCGGCTATCGCCTGAAGCCCAAGGCTATCGCCAGCATATACTCAACTACGCTGCACGTTCATATACTCGCACGCTTTTCTTCGGCTATCATTACAGATTTCTCGCTGAGCTGCTCCGAGCTGATGAGGCACATCTACCCAAGCAATACAGTGACCTTGAAGCGTATCATCTTGGCCATTTGTCTGTGTATGGGCCGCCTTGTCATGGCTCTGAGCGGTATCAACGTCATAGTTACAAATATTCTCAGTTACGGGACCTAGTCGCAGCTCCGCCTCCGAGCAAAGGGCAAGGACAGGTCCTTTTCCTCAATGGACATCTTCCAGGGTCTTGGATATGTGAAGTGGGCGCGAAATACAATATCGCTCCCGAGTTCTTTCGGCAGCATATCCATCTTTGGCGCTCGACTGACGGGCCTGTTCTTCACGCAATCACGAGAAGCCCATACGCCACTTCGAACAAAGGGCTCCTACTGCGTCTTAACACCCAGGGAAACTTTGGCAAGAACAAGCTGCCTGTAGACTCATTCAGTAGCTTGATCTTGCAAGCGCGACGAAGGCTTCTACCTGACGACGTTGAGTGGATGCCCAGACGTTTGGCCGCAGCTCCTGGCTGTTCGTATGTAAGAGGCCATGCATATCTTAGCAACCTTCAATTTGTCATCGAGCAAGATGTGTCCATCACCGTTGAGTCGAATGGGGACGGCTGGACTGGTGAGCGACCTGTCAAACCTTGATTTCGTTTCGTCACCGCTTACCATGTGTACCAGCAATCTTGTGGACAGATGTCGGAAGCAGAAATCTCTCTCATAGCCGCACTTACCATCATTTCGTCGAGTATATGGCGGCCAAGACAGAGACAGGACGCCGAGACATCCGCTTATTACCTGTACATTTGCTGGGACAGGAGTCGACGATCAAACATTCATGGCCGCTGCCCTTCTCCGATCTCGATATCACGCAAGACACCGATGGCTCGCTCTTCCAGACAGCGTCCCATCTGCCATCAGAGCTCCACGTCATGCTTGATGATCACGTAATTGCCGGGCAAGATCCGCTATACGCTCTCGCACCTATACTCTTGTTTGCAGCCGCATCGGAGATTCAGCTACTATCGACACTGCAAAAATGGCACGACATAATCGCGTCGACGAAATGGGATCGGAAGTACTCAACGGAGCATCTGGAACAACTCATCATGCACAAACACCTCCTGGATGACCACGCAAGTCGACATGAAGAAGTTCTCCGATTCATCAGCTCGCCAAAGCTGGCTCGATGGGCGGCCAATCTCACACAAGACCAGAGCGATGTAGCTCAGGAAGCCAAAGATGCAGTCAAGGCCGACTTTGAATTCCTTCGATCGCGTTGCCGCCAGCTGTCGTTGCACTACCAGGAAGCGATATCGATCCTAGTCAGCGCCACTTCTCTCGCGGAGTCGCAGAAACAGATTACGCTTGCTACGCAGGTCACGAAGCTGACTATACTTGCGACCATCTTTCTTCCGCTTTCGTACTGCACTTCGATATTCGGCATGAACTTTGTTGAGTTGGAGCAGTTGAATATATGGATCTGGGTAGTTGTCACAGTGTCGGTTGGGATCGTCACTTTCGCTGTCTATCAGTGGGATGAGAGGCAAAGACTGTGGGATATTTGGGTTACGATGAAGGCTAGGTTTCGTTTCATGCGCTGGCGACGCGATGACGCGTTGACAGTATAAGTTCGAAAATCATAACGAAAGATTGCTATCAGACTATATCGTACGTCTTAAGCTCGCCAGGAACCTCAAATGCTCCATAAAATGCCACTCTACCAACTTGTAGTCTCCGTTCAAGCGCCGGGCCTTCCATCTCGAAATTCTGCACGTGACCACTGCGCTGTACAAAGCTCTGAAAGCCCACGATACCCTGGCCCACAGTACCATCCTGTCGCACGCCCTCTGCATGGAGCGCGAGACCGCTGTAGCCTTGGGGCGGATCAAAATCTGGATATACACGATACAGGAGCGCACGCGAAACGAGATCCTTCCATGTTGATATGTCGTGCTCTTTCAGACTCGTCGAGTCACCGGCTGCAGCTTTTTGGTTCAAGAAAATGCCTTCACCCACGACAAGGACATCGGATGGACGACTGCCCCGGATGCTCTTCGCTGAACGCGTCCCCTTCGTGTCAGCTAGAATATTGACCTTGTTTGTTTGTCGACGCAGCGCGGCCCAGGAATCGTGATTGAGCCACCCAAGGTTGGCCAACGGGGATGCAACACCCTTCACTGCTGTTGAAGATGTGGGTTTTATAAGCGTGATGTCATGATTGAAACCGTTCGGATAGATGTCCGCCTCTTCATCAAAGCTTTTATGTATCGTCCCAATCTGGAACATTTGTTAGCATGAGAGCCTTTCCACAACGAATCTTGAAGCCACACATGCCAGTGATTGACATATACAGTTTACGCACCTTCCCATTACCAGCCCAGATATCGGCGTACTTGTTCCAATCACGTTTCAGCTTCTGGGCGCGATCGGACTGGCTCCGACCAGAAACGTAATCCCGCATCGATTTCGCCATGATCGCCTCGGTGATTACATGCGTGGGCATCACCAAAAAAGGAGTGCTGTCTTTTACTACCTTGATACCGATGCGGCCGGAGTGCTTCGCTCGTTGATAGTTGGACAGTGGACGCGCTTCTATGGAGTCGTTGAGCTTGAGTGACGGGCTACTCGCTACAGACTGCACAGATAGCGCTGATGAGCGAGCTGGTCGGAGTAAACTCGATGCGCTGTATCCCGGCGTCGTATACGGAATTTTGGGTCGTGCGGTCTTCGTCGGACCTGATTGCATAGTAGGCTCGAAGGTTCGCTCAATATAACATACTTTGAGACCGCCATATTTGTGCGGAAAGTGTAGTGAAGCCCAGGCTGTATCGAAGTGCGCTGGCACTACGACCTGCAGAAGACCATCAATCAGTACGTAGAATCCAATGCTTCCATAAAAGGTGAGGAAGATATCTCTGGCAAGTTCCAAAGCTATTGGGGCACGACAATCGATCGGTGCTGCTGGTCGAGGGTCCGGTGGGGGTATCAATCCGCTGATAGGAGGCCAACGATACTCCACTGGTACTACGACTGGGGAGCGGGCAATAGTGAGTGGATAGTCTTCAGGTGCGTCTGCCTCGAATGGCGTACACGTCCAACACCCATGCTGACTTCCATCGTCAGCATAGAAATTGTCGTATTCGATGTCCCATTGCCAGTCTTCCGGCAAAAGCTTCCGAACATCTTTCCAGTTTCCCGGAAGCGACTCAGACAACGCGGGTAGCAGTTCATGCTCTCCTTCATCACGAGTAGAAAGAGCCGAAAAATTCCACTCTATTGCTTCGAAGTCTGGATGTTCATCGACGGGCGATGAATCTTGACTTTCTTCTGCGCATGGAGAATGAAGCTCGGCCTCTGCTGCATCTGTCGCCGTGGTGTTCGCTTGCTCAGTCTCCGTTCCCGCTTGTTGACCAGGCTCTGAAATCGCGAACGTAGAGGTACCAACACTGGGTACACTCGTCTGGTCCGAACGAGTCGTTGCAGTGACTCCTGTGCGTGACGTAAATCTGCTTTTCTTGGCACGTCTCGTCGACGACCGTTCCTCGTGAGAGGTCGAAGACACGGTCTTGACCGACTCGGATCTTGGCTCAGTCGGAGCAATCCAGGAAATAGACGGCGTAATTTCTGATCGCAATGATCGATGTCCCTCATCATGCCCGTCGGTAGGCAACCCTCCAGGCATCGTGAAGAGTATTTGACGTGGCAATCAATGTTGGTCTAACCTCAGATCTGGAACACGACAATCGAAAGAATTGTGAGTCCTCGTAGATAGGCGTACGTGATGTTGTTCTGCGTCTGGCAGACGAGGCTGAACTGAGGTCAGCACGTCGCGCCTCGTTGGAGCATGTGACGTACGTTGCGTACTGACCAAGGAGCAAGCAATAATGTTCGGAACGGCAAATGACTGTATACTTTGAATCCCGACTTGTTTGAAAAGAATATGACGCTCGAAGGTTCTGAGAGCAGGCTGAGGTTCAAATGCGTCGCCATGACATGACGTCCGTGCGTACATGCGGCAGGTGAACACTGTCCAGTCAGAATCACGTATGGGTAATCTGCCACATCTTACTGAGACAGTGCTCTTGTGCTGGGAAACGGCCTGGTATTGAGCAAGCTCGGCCTACTGTACGTGAGATGTCATGCTATCCGGTCCTGCACGCTCCCCGGTACTGATGCCGCCAACATAAGCAAATTCACCATACACGTAGCGTGCCTGCGCAGTAATATTGCGGGTCTTGCTGCCATCGTATACGCACTTCTTAGTCGGAAACGCTGCGTTTCCAAGTGCTGTGGGTGCAACAGCACGCCCCGCGAGTTCAACTCATGTTCTTGATGCTATACTCTGGGCAACATCGACTTTCTGAAGGTTTACTACAGGGCCCAAGTGCGGTGCTAATCTCTGTGTAGCTACATGTAGCCTCCTGGCCAGTATTTAGGCGTGACTCGGAGGTCGTTTAGTCATCGCAGATGCTGTACAATCAGCTCAGAGATGTTCGCGACCTCACAGCATTTGGTAGGGGGAAGGCCGTTGGATGCGGGCTTCATCGACATGTAGCTCGCCGTAAGGTTAATGCGACTCTGTGCCATTCCCACATGTCCGACATTGTGTTCTCGCGTGAAGATGGAGCTGACCCCCTAGAGCACCCACGGGTGGGTAAATCAAGTGGCGAGCCGAACCAAATTCGCTGCATCGAAGTATGGTATCTCAGCGCCTGATCAAGTCCTCCTAGTAGACATCGCCATCGAGGTCATGTTTTTAATTGGAATACGGAGCGCGTCGAGTTGGTATCGGGGGCGGTTCGGATTGGGCAGACGCTGGTTACGGCGATGTGGTCTTCTGTATGGGCTTCGAGCCAAACTGGGACTCTGCGCGTTTTCGTATCTCCATTCGCTTCACGCGTGGTCCGCGCTCGGGTAGTTGTCTCAGTGGGTATCTCTCCGTGACTAATGCCGCGCTGCCTTCAGGCCAGAACGTGAAGCGCGACTCGAAGAAGCGGGTTCCTCTGAAGTTTGCTGCCTATGACGCGTCAATCCGCAAAAGCTTCTACCCATATTCAAATCGAGGGGTGCGGTAAGGCCGTGTTTACGTTCGGGCTAGACTTGATGGGCTTTCCATTGGGCGATACGGGCGCGTTCACGGTCGGGTTGGGTCGTGTCAGGAGTAGTTGACATTGTGATGCTCGAGCAGCGACTGCCGTTCAGCCATTGATGACTTGTTTGATTTGAGCTGCCATGAGCCGGAAGTGCATCGCATGATGCGGGATGTTGAGGGTGCAGTTGCGAATAGGGCCATTGCTGGTAGCAATGGGTCTAGCAATGACGATGGCATCAAGTGGGGCGACTGACGGTGGCTTGTGCGCTTTGCGCAACGCCTACCCCAGACCGATCCCACAACACCTACACCACGCCCAACATGCCTCTGCGATGGACGGCGTTGGTGGTGGAGAACGCATACTGCGCCGCAATGCTGCAAATGACGGTCGTCGCGATAGCTGTCTGTGCACTCGCACTACTTTTGCGAAGCAAACACTCGTTGCGCGACCATCACCATCATTACCACAATCATGAGCTCTAGGGCTTCTACATCATCTGTTCATCAAGCATTATACCAGCTAACAGTGCGGGCTTCATCTGTGTTTGGAAGTAGATGCTTCGAGGCCTCATCTTCATGTTGCAGGCGTGCGTTTCTGTCGTCAAAGGCTAGCCAGCAGAAGACAGACCACCGCGAGTTGTTCGAGTTTACTTCTGGCAGATGGATGTATACCACCTCACATCATTTCACTCACTCAACTGTTGGCTGACACGAACACGTAGCGTCAACGAGCCTTTGCGCATGGCAGAACGCCGCTTAGTTTTCAACGTCTCCGAACTCAAGAAGGTAGCTGCGAAAGCACTGAACAGACCAGCTTCAGATGTGCACGCGATAGAAAAGATCGCCGAAGGCGGTTTTAATCGCATACTCGAAGTAACAATGAATGATGGCTCGTCGGTATTCGCCCGTCTTCCATACCCATCAACCTTACCACGACGTCTGGCGGTAGCGAGTGAAGTCGCAACGCTGGAATTCCTCCGCACTAACGGGATACCTGTACCGCGCGTTCTGGACTACTCGACTGGTGGAAACGCTGTCGGTGTAGAGTATATGCTGATGGAAAGACTACCAGGGAAGCCTCTCAGTGGTATCTGGTTCAGCTTAGCCGAAGAGGAAAGATGCCATATTCTTCACAAAATAGTCTTGATGGAAACCAAGCTCTTCGCGAACGGGCTTCCCGCCTGTGGCAGCATATACTATCCCCGCGACTTGCCTAACGGTACCTCCTGCATTGATATCCCTGGATCCGATGGCAGCTTGTGCATGGGGCCGTACGCGTCTCAGAGATGGTGGTACGGCGAACGTGGGAATCTAGACATTGACCGAGGCCCTCGCAAGTCATGTTCACTCAAATGTACATTCCGCTGATTCTCATACGTGTAGATGCTAATCCCGAGCTCGTTCTTCGAAGTCATGCCGAGAAGGAGTTGGCGTGGATCCGCAAATACGGACGGCCGCGACACCCATTCTATCGCGAATACGCTGAGTCATTTGGATACAAAAAGCAAGACCCTCAAGACCACGTTCAATCGCTAGGAGATTACATGCGCCTCGTACCTCACCTTGTACCTAAAGACGCGACAGTGCATTCGCCCACCCTCCGGCATCCAGATCTCTCTCCTAATAACATCCTTGTATCTGACGATCTTCAAATCACCGGCTTCATCGACTGGCAGCACTCCGAAGTTCTCCCCGCTTTCCTCGCCGCGGACATACCAGCGGCATTTGCAAACTACGCAGACGAAGAGTCTCGAAGCTTTACGGAGCCCAAACTACCGGAGAATCTTTGTTTCATGGCTGAAAATGAGCGTGCTGAGGCAGAAGAACTATATCGCCGACGACACATACATTTCTGGTACCTTGGCCTGACTCAGGTGCTGAACAAGCCTCATTGGCAGGCTTGTACACACGACGGAACTTTCATGACACGTCAGGTATTTTGCGATGCCGGCGCTCCGTGGGAAGGTGACAATACTCATCTCCAGATCGGTATCGCAGATGTTGTGGAGGAATGGCCAGTGTTTGCATCTGCCGCCGCAGACGGTACGGTTCCGCCATGCCCCATCGTCATATCCAAGCAAGAGATGCAGAGAAGAGCAGATATGCGGAAATCACTGCACGAAGGCAATATGTTTAGGGAAGAATTATGCGAGAAAATGGGTGTATCCCATAGCGGATACACATCGCACGAAGACTTTGACTTCGCGAAAGAAAAAGCAAGCAAGGCAAAGGAATGCATAGTGGACAACCTGAAAGACGACCCGGAGGAACTGGAAAAAGCCTTACTTACTTGGCCTTTTGATGACTATGACGAGAATGAATAAGTTCATTGTTCTCGTCCTCCATGTACACTATTAGCATATGAGCGTTACGGCGTGACGACGTGAATATTACTCCACTCATGTGATTGTACACCATCCTTCAGAGACACTCGCACAAGACACGTTTGTGACATCGCAAGTTCTGTTGCACGCGCTGTATCTGACAAGCGCCCGTACGTGTGTGGTGGAGGTTGGCGATAGTTATGTGGGTGATGCTGTCGTGCAACCCAATCGTGGGGCCACCTGGCACATCGTTGCGTACAAAGCAGTCGCGCAAGGCTTGCACATGCGATACGCTTCTGCATGCAAGTATCAAGCCTTCATGAAGCTCGTCGTTCACACCTGCCTGAGTATATTCAGCGCACAGGCTTCTGATGCTGCCTGGTCTGTCAGCCTTCTTTTTTGTATACGTCATCACTCCGGATCTCAGGCCACCATCATCAAGATCGCGCTTCAGGGGCACAGCCTCATCACCAAACTTCCAGTCCATCCGTCGCAGCGGTCGCGCAATTCGATATAGTAGCCTGCATCAGCTGCGGTGCACAGCCAAGGCGGAAAGACAGGCGGTACGCGCCAGGAACTGATTTTGGGAACGCGTGGGACGCACACGGCAAATCTCTCACCACCCAGACCGTGTCCTCGCCCGCGCCGAACCACCCCACATCAGCCTTCAACATCATGTGCATCGGGAAGCTTTTGCCTGCTGCATCTTGCGGGCGGTGCTTGGTGCCTGCTCGACTACTGGCTTGGACATGCGATTGATGATGTGCTCTGACACCTGATTGGCCAGTCCAGGCGTAAGAAAAGAAGAAGCTGAGGCTGAGGCAGTCAACCATTGTCCAAATGTGGGCTACGGCAGGCTCGCTCCTGATGCGTTCGCGGGACGTTGAGTCCTTCCCAGGCTCAGCTCGCGTCTGTAGGGATGATGCCTTATAACAAGGCTTCGCACCGTTTATCCGCTCATTACGACTGCATCTTGTTCGATAAGACACCATCTGGATAATCGGACGAAAGTTCCTTTACGGAAAGCACGACTTGGAATCATCAAACACAGCACCCGTGGAAAGATCAACTAACTGGCTGGCAAAATGGCATACGCCGAGCGCCTTCCATTGTTGGATGAGAAGGCCGCACATGCCTATCAACTGCAGAGGGAGGATGAGACTTTCCAAAACTCGACGAAATCAGCGGAGCGAAGTCTAAGCGACATCCTACGCCATGTTGTTCTACTACCTCTTCTCTGCGGCTTCGCCGTATACGGATCCTATACCTTTTGCAGACAACATCTTATCAGGAACACCATGTTATCAGTGTCAGCACACGAAAGCTCCACTTCTTTCAACTACACATGTCTACCAGGACAGGCTTGTTGGCCGACCGTGAACGATTGGAACGCTTTCAATCAGAGCATCAACGGCAACCTCCGACTGACGGTACCTTGGGCCGCCCCATGCTACTCAGATCCGTCGAGCACGCAATGTCAAGAGGTCGCGAAGAACTACGGCGATGGCATCTCACGCACGAATCACTACGGGTCGATGGAGTTTCTTGACTGGGAGAAGTGCGACACGTCGCAATGTGCACTTAACTCTTTCAATACCTCAGAACCTGTTACCGGTACCTGCTCGCTTGGCAGACTCTCCTCATATCATGTTAAAGCTGAGACTGGGGATGAAATCAGCAAGACCTTGCACTTTGTGCGCAAGCATGGAATCCGCGTTTCGATTAAGAATACCGGACATGATTACTACGGGCGATCAACCGCGCCAAACTCTTTAGCAATCTGGACTCACAACATGAAGGACACGCAATATCACGAGACATTTCGGCCCAAAGGTTGCAAGACTCGCTATGAGAACATTGGAGAGATTGGCGCTGGCGTCCAGGCCCAGGAGGCGTGGGAGGCCTTTGAACCTCATGGCATGCATGTCACTGTTGGAGCCGTCGCATCTGTCGGCATCGCTGGTGGATATGGCCAGGGCGGCGGTCATGGGCCACTCGGTCCCAAATACGGTTTGATGGTCGACCAAGCTGTCGAGTTCGACGTTGTCACCGCCGACGGAGAACGGCGCACCATTAATGAATGCAGCGACCCGGATCTTTTCTGGGCAATGCGCGGAGGCGGAGGGGGAACCTACGCTGTGCTCACATCTTACAAGTTCCAGCTCCACCCGGCCGACCCTATCAACGTATATAGCTTCCAAGCTCGCTTTCCCGCGCCGAAGAACATTACAGAGTCGAAGGTACATCGCGACATCATCACCGGGCTTGCCGCAAACCAAACGCTATTTGCCAAGCATGGAATCGCTGGATACAATTTTGTGCTCTCAGATCGTGTCGTGTTCTTGCAGGTCCTGCCCTCTAATGACACGGAGGCGATCAAAGACATCACGTCCCAATGGCACGACTTCTTGACGAACTACTCCGGTCTCAGCATCACCGAGAATGAGTATCACTCCTTCAAGAAGTTCTCGCAGTGGCATGAGTTCACAGAGAGACCCGAGATATCTCGCAATGGACCCGTGGGTCTAGGCTTCAATGGCGCAGGGCGCTTCATCCCCAGGAGTCTCTTCAACTCGTCCCACAACATCGACCGGCTCGTCACTGCAGTCGTCACCGCCATGCAATTTTCACGTGTCAACCATGGCAGTGGAGGCGCTCAGTTCTACGCTACCGGACCAGACAATACTCCTGACAACGGTAAGACCAGCGTAAATCCCATCTGGCGAGACTCGCTATGGGAAATAGTCATGGGCCAATTTTGGACGACTGCTACACCGCCAGCGGCTCGCTCGCAAATCCAGAAGACTGTCTCTGCTACGATGGACATCTTGAAAGCCGTCACACCGAATGGTGGGTGCTATTCGAACGAAGGTGATTGGACCGAGGAGAACTGGCAACAAACGTTCTTTGGGGTGCACTACGAGAGATTGCTGGCCGTGAAGAGACGCTATGATCCAACAAATTTGTTCAACTGTTGGAAGTGTGTGGGTTGGACGGGATATGATGAGTGAGTATCATGGTCTAGATCTTGCAAACAAGAGCTAACTACCACAGCCCAATGTACTCCTGTTATGCGCAAACCCGACAGGAGCCGAGGCCTTCCGTTCCTCTTGGACCTGTTGGATGAGCGGATCGCGTCTATCTGCGACTACCTCCATGTCTAGCAGTCAACGTCGCACAAGTCATGGCGGTCACTCTTATCTTACCCTGGAACTTTGCGGTGTCTTTCTTTCCGGATTGTCTTGCTAAAACCATCATTGTTCTTGTTTGCATCGCAAAGCAATTTACACTATTCACATTCAGGCAAACTCCCGCCTCAATCTCTCGTGTCACTTTTGGGGCCAACATGCACGTGCGGTGCGCCGACGCCGTTGCGTTGCCCACCGCCGCAACGCGAGTGCAACCTGGTGAGCTTCACCGGCTCGTGAAAGAGCAACGTGTGGGGGCCGTGTGTGTTGCGTCTCCGTTTGTGCTCATCTAAGGCCTTGCCATTGGCAGGCCTCTGATTGGCCGGCCCCCATTTATTCACCGGCCGTCCAACGGGGCCAACGCGCCCCAACGTGGCATATAATTGTAATCCACGCTCACTTGCGCTTTCAGATCCCCGGGTGACGCAGGATCATAACAATAACAACAACAGTTTCCCCAGCGACTTTTACTCCCACACTCCTTTACCTGCTCCGACCCACATCACGCGACACTCAACTGCCTCACCATACTCACTCGAACCCGTGTCTACTTACGCAACTAGGTCCAAAATCCTAGTCAAGATCACTCACGATGCACGTCAACACTCTCATTGCCATGACGATGCCGCTACTCGCCGCGGGCGCGAATATCGGACATCGACACAGCCACAAGCATGAGAAGGTCAACCCTCGTGCTATGCAGACCAACGTCGTCATCGTAACTGAGACGATCTTCATGACTGTCACTCTTGATTCAACCTCAAGCTCTGCGTCTTCCGGTTGCTCTATCACTACTGTCTCTACTTCGCTGCCTGAGCCGTCCGTTACCGTCGAGGTCCCACAGAAGGGCATTCCCGACGTCGCATCCACGTCCGCAACTTCTGTCACTCCTTCCGCCGCTCCTTCTGCTCCAGATGGAATGTACGCTACTCTCGACTCGGTCGCGAATCAGGCCATCATCGTCAACTCCTGCGACTACGACGTCTATGTCTCGTCCATCGGCGATGACAAACAATGCGACAACAGTCCCGGGAGCGACTGCGTGACTGTATCCGCCAATAGCACTTATTCTGAGCCCATTCGCACCTGTAACGGGTCTGGCATTTCACTCAAGGTCGCAAAATCCACGAGCATGGATAATCCGATGCAATTCGAATATACTGTCTGGGACGACAAGATCCAGGTGTCTTACGACATCTCATACCTCGACTGCATGACCAAAGACGGGACCAACTTTGACAATTGCGCCGGCCACGAGAAAGGCATTCAAGCCGCGGCCAAGGATGGCCCGTCCTTCGAGTGCGCCGCTAACGAGCCTTGCGCTGCGGAAGCTTACGTTGTGCCTGAGTTTGGGTACCTTCCCGATGCACCAGTCGGCCGCGCTACTGTCGATAAAGGCGTCGCGTTCGAGATCTGCGCCGGAAACAGATCATGAGCGACGTCGTTACGAGGAAAGAGGTTTTCATACCGAGATCACGATAACGAGATCATGACCTGACTATTTCATTCCCGTGTCGACCCAACGAAGGGATCCGGCTATCTCTTTCGCAAACATGGCGGAGCAAGAGTGTGTGTTGTCTGACTATAACGATCTCTTTTCAACACTTTCTAACAATCTACGGCAGGCCCTGGATAACTTTTCGGGGTAGACAACTACACGGCCTCATGTTTCTTCTCTTCTTTGGTTTTCTTTTCATTGTATACTCTTGACTTCAAGGCTTTTTTATCTCCTTCTTCTTCGAACAAGGGCATACACGAGTGGCGTTGGAGGATTTTGGGTTATGATGCTGGCGCATGGACAGCAGCGGATGGCAGCCGGTGCTGGTGTTTTCCCTATCTGGATACTTTCACTATCATGATAAGATAGTTTGCTTGTAAGCCTCAATCAAGAGCATAGCACAAACTCTGCTTATACCATGCCGTGATGTTGGTGACGTGAGGGCCCGGTGGCCGATGACATGCACGCGACGCTCAGACATCTCGGAGTCCTATGCGCAGCTTCGCCCCAACGTGGTACCCATGCACTGCCAACCACGGTTGGCTCCAACTTCCGTACAACAACCTGCGGCGTAGACAACGCGACGATTACCGCTCGATCTTGTTACATCATTACCTGCATGCGCTCGACCCGAAGTCATCGCCGTACTCGAGCATACCACGACTAGATAAAACCCACGATGTAGGATTTGGATGTTTACTGACCCATACACTACTCATGATGGATTACTCACTTCTTCAGTCATGCACTGCGCTGTCATGAACATTCTCTTTTTCTATGCAAATATCTTCTCCTCTTTGCAGTCTTCTTCCTTCATCCACTTCTTTCCTCCTAATACAACACCCACTGTCTTAAACCATACCGTGATACCAACATCTTCATAGAAACGGCCTCTCCAAAGCGACGCATAGCGCACCCAACTCCGCACTACTGAAGCACGGTTGAATATCGCTGTGCCACAAACCAACACCCACGAGATTCCAACATGGCCGTACTACGCGCATGCTCGCCCATCGCAACGGCCTTATTAGCTCTCCTTCTCTTGCCGAGACCCGTCACAGCAGTGCCGCACAACCACGGGCACAAACACGTGCACCGGCATGTCTCGCCAGCCAACGATCTCATTACTCTGGGTCCTGAGTCGCTGGCACGCCGAGACACACCTGTCAAGCTAGGCGACCAGGAACGCATGGACGAGACCACGGTCGCAAAAATGGCTGCAGGTTGTTTCAGCGGCAACTGGCCTCTCGATGAAAGCGTCCCCTTGCCTATCGTGGGACCAGGCGATCAACTCAACATCTTCACTAGACCAGAGAGTAAACCCAATACACTCACCATGTACAATTACTGCCCCTACGATCTCTACTTTGAACACTGGAACGCGGGCGGACCGTTCGAAGACAAGGGCGGTTCCAAACTAGCAGCCGGTGCATCCGTCTCGCGCGGTCTCACAGGTACTGTGATCAAAGTTTTCAAGTCGAAACCACTATTATGGCCTTTTCTCATCGAGTACAGCGGTCAATATGACATGAGCTTGATACACTGCCTTGGCACGACTGATGGAACTCCCCTGGTTCATAAGGAGCATTCAACTCAGACAATCATCAAGGATACGAGTCGTTGCCCTGGACACGAAGCGGGACTGCATCTCAGTCAACCAGAGGGTCGTACTTTCCAGTGTGAGGCAGGCCTTTGGTGCGATGACCAGGCTTACTTATACGAAGTGAGTTGTTAATTTGAATGGGGTATAATTCGAGTGCTTTGCAGCTAATGAATGGCATCAGGAAGGACTGTGCAAACCGATTCGACCGAATTCGCCATATGACAGGAGCAAGGGAATTTCGATGGAGTTTTGTGCTAAGATGAAGCCTTAGTGTTTCGTCAGCTCTGTGCGGGCATGTATTCCTCAACCTTTCGTTGCGCCTGTCACTCTCTGCTTTCTGCGGACATGTATTCCCAACATCTCACATGTCGTGGCGCCTGTCGATCGTTTTGGGTATAAATTCTGTCTGGCTCATGGGCTGAAGAGTCGCGTATCCCTCATTCAGACGCCCCTTCGCTCTCCTGTCGATACATCATGGAATGAATTCTCTGCCAAGCGTCCTCCTCTCTCTGATATTCTCTGATCAGATATGCTCTGTTCAGCCGACTGTTCAGAAATCTCGTCAACTGCCTCAAGCCCGGCTCATCCTTTCCGTGCGCACAAGCTTCTGTTTCAACATGTTGAAACAAGCTTGACAGTTTCGGCATCGCCACAACACAAGGGTTGCACAGGAATCTGTCTCTAGATCTTGATTTGCCGTTCTCGAGCAGCTCAGGGCGAGTCCAGTGGGACATGAAATGATGGGATGTGTAGCACCGGGCTGCCAGCTTGTTGAGGTCTGTGTAGTCGATATTGCTGCATGTGCCACGTTCAATATGCATGATCTAAGATGGTGAGCGGCGGAATTATTTCGAACATGTAGATTTGATAGAGATGGGCCCTTACCATGCGGCTATAGGTCATGAACGTGCGGGGGCATCGGTAGCAATCATACCTTCCACGATGAGGAATTCGAATATGCCGATGCTGCGCAACCTCAGTACACCATGCACGCTGACCATGCCAAGCTTGTACTCTACCGGAAGAAAATGATCTGGCGTAATGAAGTGTTTCTCGCACACAGTGCACACATCGAATTCTTCGACATGATCCCAGTACTCGTCTGATAGAGGATCATAATGCATTCCTTTCCCGTCGTCACATTCCTGGCACACAGCGCGACAACTCTTTTCGCGGCAGTGGTCGAGCAATTCGTCCCAGGTAGCGGCATCAAATTTACATTCAGGGCATTTGTTGTGGTTTGGAGAATCGCGGACATGATCCGCGAGTGCGCGGAAGGTACGGTATGAGCGGCCGCAGCGCTCACACAGCCTTGTCCTTATCAGTAGAAGAACAACACGCAGAAGGGTAACTCACACAGCCATCCTGACAGACTACAGCTGAGGTTCAGACACCTAGTACTTTAGTGGAGTAGCTTTGTAATGTAGTAAGTGGCAATAAGTCGCGTGAGTGTCGTGTGTGGCCTGCAGTGAGCCGGCCTCGTTTCCGGGTGTTCGTGCGGCTGCACATACCACCTCGCGTGTGTCAAACAAACAAGGGAGACAGCAAAAAGACAAGGCTGCGCCGCTTCCTTGAAAAGGGTGATGGTGATGCATTTAATTCAAGGGCTACTCAGATAGCTTCACCTCTAAGAACTCCATTCCTTGAAAGCCTTCTGCTTTTGCCTGCTATTCCACTGTAGCGTCCTCGATATACTATCGATCCAATCCGTTCTCCTCTTGTTCAGTGGCAGCACACTGGGGAACGGGAAGCGACTTGCGCTAATTGTGACGTAGTCGCCAGGCTTGAGTTCGACCCTTTCTCTGCCGTCGAAGCTGGCCCATGAACTCGTCCTCGCATCGTATGGTACACCACACCGGAGTACGATGGTATCAGGAAGGATGATAGGTCTGAACGAGAGCGTATGTGCGCAGATGGCGGTAACGAGGACCACAGGGTTGTCGGGGTGGCAGAGCGATCCACCTGCCGCAAGGTTGTACGCAGTCGAGCCCGTAGGCGTAGACACGCAAATACCGTCAGCCTGCACAGTCGTGAAATGCTCGTCGTCTCCGAACAGCTCGATGGACGACATTGTAGGGTTTGGGCCTCGGTCTACGACCACCTCGTTCAAGATGTTATGTGTACCATCGGAGTAGTGGGTATGGTGGTCGTCGATTTCTTCCCCGATCAGTTCTTCGACCAGATCGCGGCCCTCGCCGTCCCGTTGTTGGGATCGCATGACGGTAGCTTCGAAGCGGAGACGCAGGCTGACGGTGATACCGTCCGCGAAGGCGGTAGATAGAGATTGCGGGTATAGTTCGAAATCAAATTTGGTGAGGAAGCCGAGCGAGCCTAGTGAGAAGGAAATCGTTGGAGGTACGATGCGCTGGAAGAGCCATGACGCATACAAGACTGTGCCGTCACCACCCAGCTGTGTTGTCGTTAGCCTTGAAGACTCCGCAATATGACATGTCTTACCGCGAGGACAATGTCAAAGGTTTGTGGCTTTTGAGCGCACATCTCGTTGGTCCAGAATTTGAGCCGCCCTTGAAACCCCTCGTTCTCCAACAGCCCAGCAGCGTCGAAGATCTTGTTGTCCTCCAGCGTCTGCTCGACGTAGCTATGTCTCGTTAATCGTGTCCGTTGCTAGGCAAAACTAGCACATACACCGTATGCTCCGAGCTCTTCCGCAGAAGCCAGTCGGTCACCTCGCGCGAGTTCTTGATCAAGGCCTCGTCATGCGCTTTGCCGAGGATGAAGATGTTCTTCACATGCAGCTTCAGCCTGATCTGTGACAGCTTCTTGGACAGCTCGCGTATTCCAAATGCCATATCTGACAGCTCCTTCTTGGTCAACAGCCGCGAATGTTGCGTCTGCTCCGAGCGCGCCGAGGCTGGGTCTTTGTCGACGCGCCGTTCCTGCGCGAGGCCTTCGTGCGATTGGGAGTGATCTTGTACGGGCAAGCCATCGTGCTTTTCGAGAAGGGAGTGTACGATACACGCGGTGGTACGGCGACCGTTCTCAGGGCGGAACGTCATCTTGCCAGAGGGTGGGGGAGCGAGCGAGGCTTTGCGACGATGGCCGCTATATCCGCCTTCGAAGACGACCTGCGATTATTGGTCAGCGCGTGGAGGAAGGATGCAGTGGAGTAGGTACCTCTAGCGCATCGTCATGGCTGGTCACCTTGGTGATATTCTTGGTGTCTTGGTCTCCAAGCTCGCTCTCCATGAGGAAGTTAGCTTCAACGCGTCGTTATGACGTTTGGGGGGTGCATAGGTACCTCGATTGCTTCCTGGACGCCAGGGCTCAGCTGATCGAAATAACTCGTCGCCATGGCTGAAGTGCGCAAATACTCTTGCGATTGAAAGGGCCAAGAGACACAGCTGCCCTTTTGTAGCCTCGTGGTAGCGCGTGCGTAATGTCGAAGGTGCAACAGTAACTGCGGTTCTCGGCCCACTTTCCGAGGGGCAGGCACGCCCGGCCCCGCTTGCTTCCAATCATGTCCGCGCAACGCCGATGAGATCAGCCGCTGGCGTCCTTACTCATGCCTTTTGCTCAACCACCATCGTTTTCGTGGTGGTAGTCTTGCTGACAAAGGATGCTAAAGCGGAACTTCCACTGATTCTAGCACTTCCTCGATCACATCCTCAACCGTGACACCTTCAAGGACTGCCTTGACTGCCTCGAGCGAGCTGCCCCATTGCATGCTGCGCTCGTTCTCTGGTGCAGTAATGACGATGCGATGTGGGTATATCTTGCGAGCGGCAAGGGCGATCATGGACGGTGAAATGTAATCGAGGCCGTGGAGTGGGGCGAGCGTGCTACTGCTGTCAATACTGTTCTGCTGGGATAGTGGACTACTTACTGTGCCAGCGTGTTGAAGTGCCTCGTGGCCAAAGCAGAGATGCCTCCTGCAACTGCTCGATGCAGTCGCATGAACACAATGATGTTGTATAAATAGGCTCTTACTTCAGAACTGATTCTGACTTGCGACACCAGCTTCGTCAATGTCTCAAGGTCCTGGTCTTGTTAGTACAGAACAGGCATACTACGGTCGACATACATCAGGTAGGAACAATGCTTGTTGCGGCTTATGCTTTCCCGGTTGGAACGGCGGCGTGCGTACCACGGAAGACATTGATGCGCCGTCGTCTGATGCATGATTCTTTTCTTGTAGCTCTTCAAGATTTGGCAGTCCATCATCTGCTTGATGCTTGTGTGAGATGAAGAACTGATCGTTCTGTAGCATTGTTAGACTTTGTATCTAGATTGTAGGGTAAACCTACCAGATGCATGGTTAATCGCGGTGTATCTAAGGCATTCAAAGCGATGAATAGGAACGGTTTTGGGGCCGCGTGTACTGCTGTCCTTGTGAAGTTCCGCTTGCCTCGTATCAGCTGTCTATCGTTAGTTATGCTCGAGCAGAAAAGACGATTAATGTACCTCCAAGGCCTGGATTTGGACCTGCGGATTCGCCCTGTTGAGGTTTCTTGCTATAACAATATTCGCGATGCGTTGGTTGTCCAATGGACTGAACGGTTTGGATGACCTCGATGTGTGTCCGCCAGGCTTCCCAGGTGATACTGAGATGGACGAAAACTGGCTAGACATTAGTTGCTGGTAACTCAGTCTAAACGAGCATAAACTACCTCTCCCCTACCACGCCCAGCTTTGTTGCCGAAGTAGTCGTTCTCTTCTCCTCTCACAAGGATTCCGCTTCCGAAATCGTCCAGCGTGGTGTGCTCGGTGCATTCCAGTACAGCCCACGTTAGTCCGAAAGTATTGGTAGCGACCTGTTGCTGTAAGCACACAGGCAGTCGCGCAGTGCGAAGCAACTCACAAGTTTCAACTCCTCCAGGACGTCACGGGTCAGTTGCCTTTCCGCTTCGATGATGCAATGTTGATCCGCGACTAAGCAGATGAGAACGGCAAGCTCCAGATCGCTCAGCGACTGTACTTTTTCCGTGATGCGATCTTCCGAAGCTTCCATTGCCGATAAGATCTGTGAAGGCTCAATTCGTTCTTGTGAAAGTTCCAGAAGCCTGTAGGAAGTCTGGCGACGAAAGTGCTCGGACGCGATGGCTGTTTCCAAAGTCGCGTTCGGTGAGCGGACAGGGATGCGATGCCGCTAGCTCAAGAAAGGACTAGACTCAAGTCCCCTGGAAGTCACGCCCGGGCGGGCTGTGAGGTCACCGCCAGAACATCTTCACGAGGAGCAGCTCAGCATGCACACCACCACACATTTAAGTGATTTTGCATTATCAGTAGCTTCGCATCGTTACAGTACGTCAGAATATCGAGAGCCATAGGCATTGCCTAATGGACCAGTACCCGTAATGCGCTCCTAACCCAGTTTCTACCGTATCAGACCCCATTTCTTCCCCGACATGGCACCTCGCTCCGCGGCTTAGACAGACTTCTTCACAGCGCCTCTGATCTCTTCCTTGGATGTGTCGACGAGACGAAGACTCTTCCAAGTGGTTGACGGAGTCGTTTTGGGTACTGCTGGGGAGCTCAGTGCAGGAAAGGCTTCTGCGACGCAAGGGACCTTGCGCAGTGTGACAGTTGGGTTGACTGACGACTGAACAACAGCTCGGCCAGTCCATGCGCCACCGACGGCCGCTGGCTCTGCTGCGCGAATGTCCTCAGATCCGGTCTTGGTGCTTGACGCGCGAGAAGGCTTTGACTTTGGCGCAGGCTTCAAGTCTTTCAATGCTTGCTCGGCTTCTTGTACCTTGCCCTCGAGTGCCTTCTTCTTATCTTTTGAGTCGTTTACATCGGCAGTCGCAGTGTCTAGAGTGTTCTGCCAGATGGTTGCAAGCCCGTCTAGGTGTTGGAGTTCGGCGACTTGACGAGCGAACACCGCTACTGTGTTGGGGATATGCGGCTTTGAGACTGCCGGTTGGCTCTCGTGATGCGGCATGGGGCCCGATGTTTGTTCTCTTGATAGCTTCTCGTACTCTCTCTTCAACTCATCGTAGTCGGTCTGAAGCACAGCCTTCTCAGTCTGGAGAACCTGGTTATCGTTGCTGAGTTGGTCGTAACCTTCCTTGAAAGATTTGGCTTCCTCGTCGCGGTCCTTGTACTTCTTCTCTAATTCCGATTTTGTCCGTCTTAGCAGCGCTTTCTCTTGGTCACCCTGCAGAGCCCTGGCTCGCTGGACCTCTTTCTCGTCAAGGACTCGATCGTAAAGCAAAGCCTTTGCTTCCGCTTTGCTAAGTCGCTCAGCAAGCTTCGCTTTCTCGTCGTACACGCGTCCTTCAACCAACTTGTTCACCTTGTCGTAGTAGCCCTTTACAAGCTCATCGTACTTGTCGTTCATACTCCTTCTCTCTTCAGCCAACTTGCCTTTAACCGTTTCCAAACTTGATTCCAGCTTCTTACTCTTGCGCATTTCATGTCCGAGTGATGATTCCTTTGCATTCGCCCTCACTGTTGCTTTGACAAACGCTCTCATCGTAATATCTAGCTGACGTCTAGTATCTCCGAGCTCTTCTATATCGGTTGGTCTGTTCTTCCAAAAAGATCCGATGGCGACCATCATGTATCCGGCTAGCTCGTCTCGTAGAGTATCGAGTATCTGGTCTGCGGCGGGATGACATGTGCACGCGGGCAGAAGTCTTTTGTAGCATTCTCTTCTGATCTGGGACAGCGGGTCGTCGCCGGCAACATCTGGCGGGTTGTGACCGAACATTAGGGCGGCCTTTGTCCATGGTTCGAGCCAAGCAGATGCTTTCTTCGAAGCGACCCCTTCGAGTGTGGCACTTAGCGTATGGAGAAGACTCTTCAGGTCGCTGAGCTCTCCGGTGGAAATTTCGCCTGGTTGGTCCAGAAGCTTAAAGCCCAACGTGGTGGTCCTGAGTGCATCGCACACCTGACCCTCGGGAGACTCTTCAGTATCTTCCATAACAGCTCACCAAGGCTCCGGCGTGATCTTGGATGTCGATCAGCGGTCCGTACCGATGTCAAGGGATCGTAGTATGTTTTAACAAGTACGCGTACAGCAGAAAGAAGCCCAGACCTGGGGACAGAAGCAGGCCGGGGGTCAATGCTATATCGGGCAGGTGTACGTGATATCGCAGAGCTGGAGTCGGTGCGGGTGTCTTGATAGTGTCGTGAGTTGACACAGGTCCGTGGTACGAGCACAAAGTCGTGGCTTTTCGAGCATAGGTTCAGGGGACGCGGCGTTTGCAAACGAATAGGTGGGACCAAGGACGCGTTTAGCAAGTAAACAAACGCGTTTGCTGTTTTGAGCCTACGTCATCAGCGCGAAAGTCCTCTCACTGCGCTTTGAACCTATTAAGCCGCATCGTTGCCGTATCCATTCTGAGCTGCCGCCCTACCCATCGCCATCGTCAACAATGTCACTCAGCTCGAGATGTGCAGATAGCGACATGGCCAATCGTCTACGGGCCACGGCAGCAACGTTTACACCTTTGGCCTCCCAGAGCGACGCGAAATCTCCTCACCATGACGAGCGGCAGACTTATATTACCTCCAAGAATCCAAATTCTCTATCTCCAGACGCTCAAGCAGACGAAACGCCAGGTAGCTCCAATGTCGAAGTAGCAGACGAATCTGAACTCAAAGTTGCCGAGCGCGAGACCAAGATAGACTGCACGTTCTGCGCTTCCCTGGGCCAGCCACTCCAATGCTGCCAGGCTCTCACGCTCTCACATCCCTGCCCTCACTGCGACGACCTCAGCCAACTCTTCACCCGCAAAACCAATGAACATAAAGACGAGATAGCCACTCTGCACGACAAGCTACAGCGACTGGAAGAAGAGTCACCGGAACAAAAGTTCACCAGGCTATGCGGCGAAAAGAACACGAAGATCGATATGTTGAAACGCGAAGTCGAGCAGATCAACAAGGAAGACGAGTCACTGAAGGCAGAAAATAAGAAGTTGGAGAAGAAGCTAAAGATGCTTGAGGCGGACATCAAGAAGTTACAGCCACCTGCGGAGTTTACAGTCAAGGAGAAGAAGACGAAAGGGAAGAAGAAGTAGAGTTCGAGAGTTCTCGGGGGCGTCATATCTGCCGGCACTGTATATGAAAGCGCTCCTTGTCGATTACATGATGATTTGGCACTGGTCCTACCTCTTCGGCGCGGCTTTGTAGTCTCTCCGCTAATCAAACAAATTACACTGATACCAAGAACCCAAGACTGAAGCTTCTTAGTATCCGCATGCACAGGCCGAGGTACATCGTATCACGTTACCTATCCAGAGTTCTCCAGACGTCGTCGAGCTTGTTCAATCTTGGCGTCCAGCGATGTGACCCCTGCTTTCTTCTCGATCGAATACAGCCTGGCTAGGTCTTTTCAGGTGTCTCTGTGGTCTCCTTCGACGCCTTGAGATCTGCATTCTCTTTCTCTAACCTCGCATTCTGTTGCTCAAGCTCCTGAACTCTCGTTGTTGTGTCCGCTACTCGCTTCAAAGCAGTTGCAAGCCGTCGGTCCAGTGTCTTGGCATCATATCGGGTGAGGTTGAGATTACTCTCGGTGTTACTCAGAACCTCATGCGTGAAGAGCTTGTCGACGCGCAGTTTATAGATTTCTTCGTCCTTCGAATCAGATGTTTTTTTGAGCTGAGCAACCTTCAAATCAGATGTTCTTTTGAGTTGAGCAACCAGTGTCTGCAGTGGCGCATAAACCGTCTCCATGACCAGGTGGCGCAATATCTCGGCGTCAAGTTCCTGGCTCCGCAACGCAAACTCCTCATCGCGCAGCTCAGTACTCAGCTCTGTTAAGGCGGCCTCGGAAGTTCTCTCATGTTCTTTATCATCGGGCTGTGCTTGCTGTAGCTTAGCCATTTGTTGGCTGATGCTCTTGATAACGGCCTTGACCTCAGCAATCGCTTCGCCAGCACGGTAGCCTTCGGAAACCAGAAGAGCTATCGAAGAATGCACTCTTCGCAAATGAACTGCGATGAAAATCATATCCTTGTCGTCTAGCTCAAAGGTTGTTTTGACCCATTCCAGGAAATCGTCTTGGAATCTGACCTCATGCGTCGCGTCCTCTGTTGTTGGAGTAGTCGCGGATGGTATCGCTACAGATACAGGATTGTCCAGACTGAACAGCCCGCAGACTGCGGATAGCCACTCTTGCGTACTCTCCAGATGCCGTTGACCAAAGGGAGCTCCCGCTGGACTTCCGGTAGAGTCATGCTTGCTGGAAACGCCCTGAACACCGGAGAGGCCGTTGTCATCTGGCCTTTGGGAGTGGAAGCCACCCTCATCAGCTGATGTAGGCGCCATGAATCCCTCAGTCTGGCCTTCGGCTGGCGGGTGGGGAGAGGACGGGAGGAAGCGGGATCCCTGAGGATTGTTTTGGGAGTTATGATCTGTGCACGTTTGCTCCGAAGCAGTCTCAGTATCGACTGGTGAGCTGCCATCTGACTTTTCAGGGTTTTGCAATTCGTCTTGATCGGCTTTCTCATCAGTTTGAGACGTGTTGTACATGATGTGATTTGAGACTGATCCGGTCGCGTTTTGTAGGTGTTTGGTCGTCCGACGTGCGTCGTGTTGATGGAATGATAATATGGTCGTACCTTTGGGGCGGTCTATCAGGCAGGCGGTTGTTGTTCCCAGAAGTCGGTCAGGTTTTGGAAAGCAGTGTAAGTGTCGGGGTTAGGCGGGAGTCGCGATGGAAGTTGTTGGTGCTTGTCTGTTCTATGAGATAACGGGAAATCGCGCCGGGACCTGCTGTGCAGTCTTGGAAAACATTCCATCAAGTGACCGGCTCTTATGACACAATCAATCACCCTTTATTCTTCGTAATCCACTCTGCCCGACGTTGCCTGTACAATCTTCTCTCATTACTCAACCTTCTAAGAAAGATCTCGAACTAGTCCAACTCTTCAAACCCGTCGGCTCGACCAGACTTTCAACTACGTAGAAATGCCAGAAGAGATACCAGAACGCAGCGCCCAAGAAAAGCGCGACTACATCAAGGCGTTGAAAATACAGATAGAGGAAGCAGAAGAAGAAGACAGGAGGCTAGAAAGAGATCTAGAAGAGCGGAGGCGGGAGCTGGAGCAGCTGGAGGCCAAGCTTAGGGAGAAAGAAGGTATACCATTAAGCTAGACATGGAAAAGAAGATATCGATGAAGAAATGAGTAACAGGCAGAAGGGCAGCTTGGGTCAGGTCTTGGTTAGTGTGAGGCGATCTCACGATGAATTTCACGGATTATATGACAGTAGGAAGACCCCACGCATATACGCAGCTGATGAGTGTTCTTCTATTTGGACAAAGCTGTGAATGGCAGTCGGTTCCCATCGTGCTCGTTGTTCCAGGATCGCGCTCCGCGGTGGTGTTAATGAATGCATGCGAGGCCGCTACCTGAAGGCAAGACTGCGAATACAATGACATCTGCCACTTCCTGACTCGAATGCGAAACCCGGATGGTGAAAGGTCAAACCCCACAAATATCAGAACAGCGTGGCCTCTTGGGAGTTTGGTGGGAGATTCGCGATAGCTCAGGGACGGAGCTACGGCTAGCGCGCGCACGGGTAATTTCCCCAGCGACACGTTGCGAAAGCTCATGAAGCAAACCCCCTCTCCATCTTCCATCAACTGGCTGTTCGCAACCACCTTCTTCACCTTCTCGTTGTCTTCTTTCTTGTCTCTGGGCCATAGTTCGCAATCATGAGCGGCCGTAAGTCTCCACCCCACCTGTCAATGGCCCGGCGCGGCGTGCGCGCAACACCTGCGAGGAATTAATTACGGCGCGGACGAACACCACAGCTAACGGGTGCACGTAGTACGGTTCCTCGATCTCGTCAAGCCTTTTGTGCCTCTGGTTCCTGAAATTCAGCTGCCAGAGAGCAAGGTTCCTTTCAACAACCGCCTGGTATGGACCGGTCTGACCCTCCTCGTCTTCCTCGTCATGAGCCAGATGCCGCTCTACGGAATCGTGTCGTCTGATACCTCCGACCCGCTATACTGGCTCCGCATGATGATGGCGAGTAACAGAGGAACGTTGATGGAACTGGGTATCACCCCCATCATCACCTCCGGCATGGTTTTCCAGCTCCTCGCGGGAACCCACCTCATCGACGTCAACCTCGACCTCAAGTCTGATCGCGAGCTCTACCAGACCGCCCAGAAGCTCCTCGCTATTCTCCTGTCTTTCGGTCAGGCCGTCGTCTATGTCATCTCGGGTCTCTACGGACAGCCATCCGACCTCGGTGCCGGTATCTGCGTTCTCCTCGTCATTCAGCTGATGATCGCTGGTCTGATCGTTATCCTCCTCGACGAGCTCCTCCAGAAGGGCTACGGTCTCGGCAGCGGTATCTCGCTCTTCATCGCCACTAACATCTGCGAGTCCATCATGTGGAAGGCTTTCTCGCCCACCACCATCAACACTGGTCGCGGTCCTGAGTTCGAGGGTGCTCTCATTGCCCTTGTCCACTTGCTCTTCACCTGGCCCAACAAGACTGTCGCACTCAAGGAGGCTTTCTACCGCCAGAACCTCCCCAACGTCATGAACCTGATCTCCACCGTCATCGTTTTCGGTGCTGTCATCTACCTCCAGGGCTTCCGCGTTGAGATCCCCGTCAAGTCCGCCCGCCAGCGTGGTGTTCGTGGCTCATACCCCGTCCGCCTGTTCTACACCTCCAACATGCCTATCATGCTGCAGTCGGCTCTGTCCTCCAACGTCTTCTTGATCAGCCAGATGCTATACAACCGTTTCTCCGACAACCTCCTCGTCAAGCTTCTCGGTGTCTGGGAGCCCAAGGAGGGTTCCGCTCAGCTTTTCGCTACCTCCGGTGTCGCCTACTACATGTATGTCTAGTCATAGTTACGCTACAGAACCAGCCACTAATTAGCTCCAGGTCTCCCCCTCTCAGCATCACCGAGGCCCTCTCCGACCCCTTGAAGACCGCCATCTTCATCGTGTACATGCTCGTCGCTTGCGCTGTCTTCTCTAAGACCTGGATCGAGGTTTCCGGCTCGTCTCCCCGCGATGTCGCCAAGCAGCTCAAGGAGCAGGGTCTGGTCATGGCTGGTCACCGTGAGGAGTCCATGTACAAGGAGCTCAAGCGCGTCATTCCTACTGCGGCTGCCTTTGGTGGTGCCTGCATTGGAGCTCTGTCCGTCGGCAGCGACCTTCTCGGTGCTCTCGGTAGCGGTACTGGTATTCTCCTTGCCGTGACCATCATCTACGGATACTTCGAAATCGCCGCCAAGGAGGGCGACATGGCCGGCCTCAAGGGCATGGTCATGGGCTAGTTTAGCCCATAGGGATATTGGATTTTTGATTTGAACGACGGATGGGTTGGGGCTGGGGTGCTTCGCCGCACATTGTAACATATGATCTAAGAACAAAAGTTTACGAAGGTCTCTGGCATCACTTTACGTACTGCAGCGTGGCGTCTGGCTAGGCTCACGATGTCGGCCCTTCTCTAATGTATCATTGTTAACACTTAAACTGCGTTTGGAACTGATCGCACCTGCAGTATTCACTTGAAGCACTCACGTGCTCAGCCTTGGCGTGTTGCGTCTGGCGCCTTACTCATCAAGCTTCAGTCGCTCTTGCCCTGTTCACTGCCAGTACCCAGATATCGACTACCTAGTATGCCTCCGCTGTTATCAGAAACCCGCGTCATGGATTCAACCTTCAACAGCCGCGTCACATTGGCTAGCTTAGCGAATGCGAAATGTGGCTTACGTGCGTATCAAACCGCCACGCTAACGCATGCTGCGGTCTGCGATGCGAAAGTCTGGGCATTGCGGCCTAGGAAACATCGTCATACACGGTATTGAGGCGTTTTACACATGGGTAATGCGAAGATTAAGCGAATGCGATGTACTGCTGCGGATGCGAAATCTGGTCATGATGCAGTGCGTGTCTTCAGTCTGAACGACTACATAAGATGGGGTTGTCGCTGCTTGGGGTGAGGTATTGCAGCTATCTATTTTCACTTCTTTCTCGAGTTCTAGTACTCATACTTGATCGTTCCGCTCGGATTCCGGTCAAACAATCATCATGGCAAGCTCACTTAGCATCGCTCATGCTACACTGGACTGGAAACGACAAAATCCACCCAAAGGACCAGACTTCGATTGGGAAATGTACCGTTATGTTCCTTCCATGGCTGGAGCGATTGTCTGTCTCGTTGTGTTCCTCGTCATGGCTCTTCTACATCTGTACCAGTTTCTCAAGTCGAGGAATCGGATCATTGTGTTCGTGGTTATCGGAGCACTGTGTAAGTTGCTTTCTTCTGGCCTCTCATGCCAGGATCATCTGGGGTATTCGCTGATATATGACTACAGGCGAAGTTGGCGGATACGGCGCACGCATCGCTTCTCACTTCGACAATCAAGCCTGGGGCCCGTACATCACTCAAGGTGTACTGACACTCGTTGGCCCTCTATGGTTCGCCGCAACCATATACATGATGCTTGGCCGTACCATCAGACTCGCCAGTGGTGAAGACGTCAGTCTAATCCCAGCGAGGTGGTATACAAGAATCTTTGTTACTGCGGATGTCACCACGTTGATCATCCAGGGCTTGGGTACGCGGATTTGACAAAGATGAGGACAGTAAGAATATAAGCTAACAAAACGACAGGCGCCAGTATCATGGGCACCATGCAACTCGCCCTTGCCCTAGCAGGCGAGAAGATCGTCATCGCGGGCCTCGCACTTCAAGTCGCTACCTTCATCGTCTTCCTCGCCGCCTCATTCGATTTTCAGACTCGCATGAACAAGAAAGCCGAACACCCTTCAGCAAACTGGAAAAAAATGTTGCACATACTCTACAGTGTCAGTGCACTGATCTTGTTCCGCTGCACATTCAGACTTATCGAGTATGCCATGGGCAACGCTGCGTATCTGATTGCGCATGAATGGACGTTGTATTGCTTCGATGCTGTGCCAATGTTTTTGGTCTTGGTGCTGTTGCTGGTTCTGCAGCCGAGTCGCTATGTTGAGGGAAACTTGGGGAAATCGCGACTGGACAGCGATGGCGAGGTCGGCGTTGTGGAGAGAAAGTGAAGGGTTTTAGCAATTTGGTCAGTACTTTCAGCGCGCTTGAAGCAACTTTCCGGGGAGTCCTCTATTTTCCTAAGCGCAATACATTTTGCCTATTGTCTTCAGTCTGCTCACGACATCATCTTTTCGTTGAGTCTTGGTATGTGTGCCTGAACCCACGCAGGCGAAACATCTCGAAAGCCTTCGACTTTGTACAGCAGGCTATAACATGTTTTCACATGCCAATAACATTAATTTGAGCTTGACAGCCGGCCGTTGCGAAAGCTCACTCTGACCCCTATGACGTGCATGACTCGAGGTAGGTCAGATCTTAGCTCTCAAGCTTGGAACAAGCGCACCCAGCCACATGCGGCGGCACGCCTCACGCAGCACCACCTCATGCTTCCACAAAATGTGATTCCTCAATCCATACTAGCTACACACAGACATCAAACGGGATGGCGCGCCGCTCCACCACGTTCGTGACTAAAAGGCCGCACCGCAAATCGAGGGGCGGATGCTTCACCTGCAAGAAGAAGAAAGTGAAGGTAAATCCAGACCTGAGGAGACTCGTATGGAATCATAAGATTAATATTATAGTGCAGTGTGACGAAGCGCAGCCCAAATGTGGATACTGTAACCTCCGGAATCTGGATTGCGAATATATCCAAGATGTCCTCTCGACCTCTCGCACTTCGTCGGCAGGCCCATCGTCCAGTGATGAGGTTTCACTAACTACATCCAACACTCCAGTAGACTTCAACGATCTTTCCATTCAGTTGGTACCATATCTCAGCCCACACTGCCATACATCCATAGGTACACTCACAGCCCTCGACAGTCATCTACTGCAATTCTACAGAACAGACGCCTACCGTACCGTTGTATCCTGCGACGATGCCATCATCCAGAACCTACACAAAGAGACCATACCCCAACTAAGCATTTCTAACCCATTTCTCTTATACGCCCTACTCGGTATGACAGCAACCTACAGCAACAACGTCACGCCCAATAAGACGGTCGAAAAACAAGCCCTACTCTACCGTCAAAAGACCTTTTCCACCTACAAAGAAGCCCTCAAGAACATCACAGCCGAGAATTACGAAGCCGTCCTCGTAACAGGCGGTCTTCTCCTCGCGCTCGTCCCCGGGCCAGCCACCGACACAGACGAAGATCACCTCGAATGGGTGTTCGGCCTCCTCAAACTAAGCGAAGGCCTGCGTATCCTCGCCTCCCTCCGCTGGGCCCAAGGCATCGAGAAACTTTCCGTGTACCCGTTAGTACGCCGGGAAATCAAGACGCTGCCACCCCCACCCATCATCGACGTGGCAGCCATCGAAGCGCCCATCGGTCCTCTGGGAACGACGCCTGATAACCCCAATCCAGCACCAACATACACACCCATCCATTTCCCTACGCAAACCCGCCTTTTTCTTCCACCGCCCCTGATGCAACTCCTCCAAAGCGTTATCCGAGGAAAGGAGTCAGGAACACTAGATTGGCATCGACCAACCCTTGCCCCCGTCTTCCACGCTCTCTCCCCCATCTTCCTATCTCTGTATTACTATGGGCTAGACTCTGACTTCTACGTCCGCATCTTCGTCTGGACGTCCTTCCTTATGCCAGACTATCTCCAGTTGATGCGGGACAAGGAACCAAGGGCTCTGGTTCTGTTCGGGTGGTGGTTGTCGCTGGCGAATCTAGCACCGAAGGGGTGGTGGACAGGGAAACGAGTGCGTAAGACTATTGGAGCGATGATGCGGGCGATTCAAGCGCAGCCTGTGGGGGATGGTGGGTTTGCAGAACGCGTTTTGGGGAGTGCGTTGAGGATTGTTGATGTTGTGGATAGGGAGGGGAAGGAGGCGGCGGCTAAGGCGGTGTTTGATGACTGGCCTGGTGTTAGTTGGGAGGAGGGGCCGGTTAGGGCTCAGGCGTGGGAGTATGGTCAGTTGTTGGATTTGGGGGAGGTGGATGGCGGTTTGAATATGGATGCTGCTGTGGGTATTGATCTACAAGAGCTTGGTATATCGGTTTGAAGTTGAGCTTTGAATATCATCGCGCATGAATCAGCTAGCTGTAAACCGCTTATTGCCCTATCTCTGGAGTTGTTCCGGCTGTCTCTGCTGTAACACTCTTGTTTCCTGCCTCCGAATCCTCTTGGTTTCGCCCACCTCTTGGCTCCCTGAGCATGCAATATAGCTTGATAGCGTCCTTCTCTCCCTCTCCATCTCTGCACTCCATCTCCCTCGCCAACCGAAAGCCAAACTTCTCATAGATGGCAATATTCGGCTCACTCCTGCTACTCTCCAAATAGCACATTCTCCCCTCCTTATCAGCCATATCCAGCACCTCTTCCATCAATGCCCTTCCCACACCCTGTCCCTGACACTCCGGCAATACAGTAACGATATTGCAGAAATAGTATCCCTTTGGGTCCGTCCAGAGTTCAGACTGCGCCTCTGCCTGTCGCGCTTTCCATATCCAATATCGCGTTGTGCTGAGACCGCCGCGTCCGTACCACAGGTTCATGCGTATTTGGTTGGCCCATAGATACCAGTACGAGAGGTATAGCGACCAGGACTCGGGCTCGGACGTGGGTCGCGGTGGGAGCCACATGGCGCAGCCGAGGATCTTGGATGTGTTCGAGGTGTCGCGTGCGACGTGGAAGAGGCCATGTTCGATGCCCCAGCGGCATCGTAGGGTGAGGGATACGCGGTTTCGTGTTAGAGAGACCTGTGATGGTTAGCAATGCGCGCGGGAAGACGGTTACTGAGGTAAGTACCTTCTCGCGATCTGGAAAGACCCAGTTGTTGTAAGGGTCATTGGCGAAGGCTTGTTGTATGGTGTCGATTGCGCCGTCGATATCGGCCTCTGTCATGCGCGTTACTTGGATAGGCATTGTGAGAGGTTCTGTGGTGTTGAGGTCTTTCGAGATTCTTCGTGTCACGGCGGCAGTAGATACGAAGATATGTGCGCCAGTCTCAAAACTGGCAAACTTCGATAACCGGCCATGATAGGTGCGGGGAGGTTTGTAGAGCTTGTCGCATGCAACATGTGGATAGGTGATGAGATGGGAAGGTCTAAGCGACAGTCACGTGCATTGCGGGGCCTTCCGATGCTTATCTGCGCAGGCGCGTACGAACCATCTTCGCCAATCCTACCTGCAGCTGTCTTGGCTATGTTACACAGCTTCAGCCTGGTAGCCATGTCAGCTTTCAGAAATGAAAGTCCGGCCTTGGTGCCTTGGACCTGCGTGACAACGCACACTAAACACCATGGAGACTTCCAAGCAAAGACTCAGGCGGGCTATGCGACTGGCTGGCCCAACTATTGGCTTGAAACGATCCCAAACAGATACTACAAATGGCCAAGCTCATCTGCGTCCTGGCTATCAGGCTGAAGGTGGGGTAGAGACAATAGCAGCAGATCTGCTCCTTCGCCGGCCCATGCCTCCTTCGCTACAATCCAGAGGTGAACAACGACCTACCATGGCGCCAGACACTAGCAGCTTCCCCGATAGATGGGCCGAGATAAGGCGAAAGGCTGAGCTGAGGCAAACGAGTCAAGGAGTCGAGCAAAACGACGGAGAGACCCAAGATGAAGAGACCATCGAGAGTCGCGTGGCACGCATAAAAGCTCGTGTGGCAGAGTTGACGGACAGTGTTGAGGGTGGAGTTTCTGTTTCTGTTTCTGCAGAGCGGAACGAAGAGAGGCCCTTGATGCTACATACCCGTCGACATACGGCCGGAAACATTATCAGCTCTGCTAATGTACAATCTACGCCACGTCGCAATGATATTTACATGGAACCTGTGGATTTCGACGACGCATCATCCGAGCCATCCTTCATCAAACCCATTGAAGCTTCTACACGGACATTGTCAGCAGATGGAAGCGACCTGACTAGTATCGAACGAGACCCATTTTGTAGACCATGGGACTCGGAGTCGATAACAAACCATCTGTTATCGGCGATGGATGTTGCAAGCGCTCGAGTTGCTCTCGAAAGCCTTGGGGTTACCGATCTGTGGCTACCGCTGTCGAAACAACTACTTAAACGATCACTGAGTGATCCTCATCATGTCTCAGAGTTCCTGAGATTACAAGAGGGCCATCTCAGGTCCTTTCTTGCGTTTTGGACACGATCCGTCTCAGCAGATAGTATACATGATACCTTGTTCAACCATTGCGAATTTGAGGACGACGAAGAGGTCTTTGAGGAGAACCGTTTGCTCGGCGAAGGGATGGTCGGTCTTGTCGAGGAGGTGACTGTACGAGGCCGAGAACCACCTCTTATATGCGTACGAAAGAAGATTGCAAGGCCTAAACAGCTCAAAGCGCATCGACAGATTATGGCTGCCTTCATTCGGGAGATCAAAGTCATGCGTCAAGTCGATCATCGCCATTGCGTTCGGTTTCTCGGGAGCTATACCGATAATGAGTCTGTCAATATTCTCTCGACGCCGGTGGCTGATATGGATCTTGCTACCTTCCTTGATAAGCCTTTGGGAGACCGGGAATGGGCCATACTCTACAAGGGCATTGACTGTCTTTGCAACGGGCTGTAAGTGCATGTCAACCTACCTTTCCACGCCATCGAGCTTCAGAAAGCGATAACACGCTAGCTGCAAAGCTGACAAAAGGGAGAACTTTTGCTGATTACCTTCTAGCTTGTATCTCCATGACAACAAGATTCGGTAAGTCGGTTGGAGTTCAGTCAAGAAAATGTGGACGAGCCATGATACATAATCGCTATCGTCTGCTACTTTCAGTAGACTGCCCCCAGACACTGTGGCTGACACAGCTTAGACACGAGGATCTGAAGCCGCAAAATGTTCTCGTTCACGGCACTAATATATTGCTTACCGATTTTGGATTCAGGTGAGGTGAATCCACCCCACGACACTCTTGTGCTAAGCATACATAGCTTGGACTTCTCCGATGATTCTGTTTCGACAACTACTGGACGCCCATCAGCTTGGACTATTCGATACTCGGCGCCAGAAGTATTAGACTCTGAGCCTCGCAATCGGGCTAGCGACATATTCTCTCTTGGATGCGTTCTGGTCGAGATGGTTTCGGGACTTTACGGACACAGTCTCTCCGAAGTCAAGGACTATTGGAAGAAAACTAGCAACGGACAATCCAGTTTTGCACGCAACCCAGAGGCAACATCTTCGTGGCTCGATGCGTTTTCAGATCATCCCAAGAGCATCAGACTCAGATGCATTGTGGAATTCCTGCCATTCCTGTTGCATACAGAACGTCTCGATCGACCGTCGGCTCAGATGGTGGTTGATAATGTGCATAATCTCAGCCTACGCCTACGCGATGCACCTCATCTTGCCAATGCTTGCTGCGGGCTAGCGGCAAGATTGTCAGACGATCTCCTATCTATGGGCGTAAGGGAAGTTGATTTGCCGAAATCAGATGATCCACAGATTTATCTCGACATCGCCAGCTATTTCGATGCTCTTGCAGACAACCTTATGACATATATCGTACTTGACCAGCGTTTCAAACAAGTCGCTGCCAAGCATGACTGTTATTCGGACATGTGGGAAACACTCAGTCGCAGAATCCTCAGTCGCAGCGATGTTTCTTCAATCGAGGCTGCATGCGAGATGCTCTTCCTACGATGCAACAAGACAGAGCCGATACTAGATCACCCACACAGCCAGACTGATGCACCAACAGGGCTTGATCTGGACCAAGCGCTGCGGCAGGTACTTGATGTTTATACCTCATGGCAGGCTATATTCACAGCGCTGAGTGTAGAACTTCCTACGTCCCAAGAGCCATGGAGACATCAAGTGCCTTTCACAGCATTCCCAAGTATTTGGCATAAACGAACAGTCCAGATTTCGATGGTTGGCCTGGAAGATGGCCATCGCGACAATTACGACTTCAGTTCCGTGTTTTACGTGTTGGCATTCAAAATCTACGAGGAGGGATACGACCCTTCGAAACTGGGCGCGCCTTGCGTAGACCTGACACAACGCCACTTAGGAGCAAAGAATGACGAGGGTCCATTACCACACGGATGGGGTGAAATGCTATAGTATCATAGCAGCAATAAATGTAGTACTGTCACTGTAAGCTGCATTTGCTGCACAAGGCTTCCAATACACAGCACTAGCTTACATGACAGTGCCCCGAGTACGCAAGAGCGAAGTATAGCAGACCCTTGGACTAAGAGATTGTGGCATCATGATCCTGGATGATCATGTCTTGTGCTATAACACAGATTCGGGTCTACGAAGCCGAATCGGCATACTGCTAGGTCAAGATCAGTATCGCAAAAGGCTTGCGATTGTCGGAAAGCAAGGTGCTGGTTCACCGTGTATGGCTATGCCATCATGATGTCAGATTATGTTATTGGCGTATGCGTGTGCGCTACAAGCAGTCTCAACATCATTGGGCTGGGACATGTCTTCTTATTTCATGTCCTCTAGATTGATTTGTCCTTATTAAGTTACAACGTAATTAACATATCAAGACACACTTCACTTACAAAAGTAAAAGAGGACAAAGGGACAAAGTGATGGTGTACAGGACTCAAGCGTGAAAGGGAGACATACGGCATGAGCAGCGATCCCAGCAGTGCACATAGAGTCGCAAGGTCCAATTGTAACTCCTACATGGTAGCGACCTGACAAAGTAAGGAACTAATCATCGCCCATGGTCCACACGCTCAAAAGTACGCTGCGCATCAAGCGTACGCTTTTTGTGTGACTCAAAAACCTAGATGCGCAGACGCATGCTTACCTTTTCCCTTACCCAGGATCGCAACGAATCAAGCAACCAAAAAGCTGCATGATTGCTTTTCGTGACCAAGACATTCCGCTTCCGCGATAACGCTCATACACATACGCATACACACAGCGCACACACATCGTGATAGTTCTACACACGAACCCACATACTCACCGCTCGAACCCAAAAGCCCATACTCACACATGCGCTTATGTCAACATGTTCGCACAAAGCAAGCCCCGCACTACACTACAGGACACTACCCCAACCCCAGCCCAACGTCTATTCGTCATGGGATCGACAGTCCTGCATGGCCTGGTCAGTCAGCCTACCGAACCCAGTCCAGCCCAGTCCGATGACACCCTCCCGCACTGTGTGCGGGCGAAGCGAGTGAGCATGAGCGGTTCCGGATAGCGAATGCGAGTATGCATGGGGAGCTGGTAGACCTGTTTTGACCGGGCCGTTGTTGGGTTGGGAGTTGATGGTTGATGCGGGTGTGTGGCATGACATGTGTGGCGAGGAGGCGCTGCTTTTTTGTCCCGGGGGGCTATGCTATGCGATGCTCTGAGTCTGCGGTGATTGATGTGGCGAGGGACATGTACATGGTCTTCGTACTTGGGCTGCGTAGTCGGCCCGCTGCGTACATGTATGTGTATACTTATCGGTGGATGGAGGTTACCGGCGTTGTTGATACGAACGTCTATCGTGTTAGGTCTATTGAATAATTTTTGGTGGTGTTAGGACATGAGTAGGCACATGATGTCAACGTCCGAACGTCGGCATTTTCCTCCTTCGCGATCAACACGTCGACGATCTCTGTTCAACATCTTAGGCTCTCGCTTACGGCGATGTAGTATACCGTGAGATATCAGCTGATTCGCCGGGTTATACAGCCTTGTGTCCGGCTTTTTCCTTGAACCGTGGCGCTGTAAAGGTTAGGTATGAGGAACAGGCAGCCAACCTTGTTCGGATATAGAGCATGGATGCAAGCGCGAATACGGAATGAGACGGGTTAGATACTTCGTGAGCTTCCGCTTAAAGGCACGATTATCGGCGTTGCATCCGTAGCGACGATCCGGAAATTCTTGGTTCCGAACTGTTACCTGGCATTTTAACATGCACAAGGAAGGCACAGTAAATAGCAATAATATCCCAGGGTGCTGAGGCAGCAGAACCAGGCCGTGTTGCAAGATGCATCTGCCGGAGGACAGGCGGAGACGGGTACTGTACGCAGCGCAGCATAAGTGGGCAGCTAACAAGACGCAACTAGAGATTCGAAAGCGAGAACCTGAGCCATCCTTGGATCATCGTGGTACTTGTTGATCAACTGAGAGAACGTAGCCTCCGCAAAGTCGAGACCATCCGTATGACAGCGTATAGCGCCTGCATGTACCCTTGAACTGTAAAGGGTGGGTAACTATAAGGGCAGATAGTACCACTTGGTGTGCATACAGGCGACCCGCTGGCGGCCGACGATTCAGTGTTGGGCAGTCAGGCAGCCAGTACGTGGGAGTGCGAGAGCGATCGGAAAGAGCGGAAGCAGGAAAAAAGTCGATGAAACGCAGTCCGGAAAGTTAAGCCACCGTGTTGTGTGGTGCGGGTAGTCCTTGAGCGGTCTGTTTGGGGCAACTCCAGGTCATCCTAGGCACCGGATTACTGTTAATGCTAGTAGCCAAGAGGGGTGGTGTTGCGAATGCGGGCGCTGATGGAGCGCGTACTAGCCGCATCGCCGTGAAAACATCGGTGTGTTCGACAAAGAGGCAAGCCGGGGCTGCCGTGGTCATCAGACAGGCTGGGAGGCAGGTGCGAAGGCGGCAAGTCGGGCAATAAGCGACGTGCGTGTACTCTACGCAGAAACCGATCTATGTCCTGGGCGCCCAAAAATAGGGCGTTCAATTTGCTGAGACGTACAAATCAGGACCATGCAGGTGTGACTGCTTCTGCGCATAATCGTAGGCGAATAAAGAAGGTACTTCGGGTCGTCGCTCAGTGGTGGAAGTGGACTTTTGGGATCGCCGCGTAAGCACAATTTAGCCTAGAGCATGTCTAGAATAAGAAGATAGGCGATTTGCCGATCTGGTGAGGTGGAAAAATTTATGGCGCATGCATGGCATCCGTGGGCCCGTTTGCACCGTCATACACCTGACGGGGAACTACTTGCATAGGAGCTTCCGTAAGTAAGTCTCAGTTGGCAACTCAAGGATGGTCACCTCCACACAAAGGACGGCCCTTGTCAGCAGTGATGCACGCAGTAGTACCGAGCCTTGGATTGCATTTGACACATCGCCTGATGTAACAGCGGCCGAGTGCATGACTGGCGGGCACCAAGTTGTGTCTTACAAACGAATAGCAACTGCTATATAGGGTTCCGACTAGGGGTGTGCTGCTGGAATATCAAAGCGGAGTGCAATTGCCGGATTGGTGCGTAGTATTACAAGACTGAGATCGGTGGTGTAACTGTAAGCGGTAAGCATAATGCTAGAGGTGGCCCGACCTCGGATATTCTATGTGGCAGACGTGCTGATCGAGAAACTTTGCTCTATATTAGCTGCCATGTCGACACAAGTTGCAGCAGCAAGCGCCTCAATACACCCTGATTCATGATGACGGCCGGATCCATCGCTCCTCAGGATGCATTGTTGTATTGGCTTTGAGGCGGTTGGTGGCAGCTAGGTACCGAACCTAAAGAGGTGCGACAGGCAAAAGGGTCGCGGTGGAGCGGCAGAAGGAAAACAAACGCTCGTACTGCGTGAAACCGAGTCACCGCCGGGCCCTGGTAAAGTGGAGAAGATTTTGCGGAGATGCAGGCTGGCTTCAGCTGCTGCGTCGTAAGACAATTAGCATGGGATCGCCCGACAGAAGTTTCATCAGTTGCGCGCTCGGGTGAAGCGAAGGTACAGACGTGTACACGATACCCACGGTCCGGCATGCTCGTGCGGCAGTCTTGGCTAGGTAAAAGTGATGCAGAGTCATGGCTTGTTCTTGTTGATGTACCAGCAACTTGCACACACAAGCGAGTCAACGACTGTGAGCTGGCACAGTGGCGGTCTGACTGGTCAGACTCGTACCCCGGCTACGAGCGCATATCGTGTATGTGGAAATGCCATCTTGCCCCATGGTCGTAGCCCT